AATTGCGCGAGGATTTAAATAACCCTAGCAATGGAAAGTAAATTGACCTAGACCTCTTATGAGCAATAGGATTGGATACTACTACTACTACTATTACTAATAATAATAACGTGATTATATATTATTATTATTGGTCTGGTGTGACTAAGGGCCCCGAGATCTTAACCGTCGTAACCACGATCAATTAAGAAAACTAAATAAAAGAATACGTTGAATATGCTAATAAAATAGAGTTAAGACAACCTGTTGTAGAAGAATAAAATGAGAATGAAAACAAGACAGCTATTTTGGGTTTATATTTAATTTTCACGTTTATATTTAATTTAGCACAGCCTTGCTTCCAAAAGACATTCCCATCTAGGGCAGATTGCAGTTTAGACCTCGTCTAGGTTTGATCAGCACTCCCAGAGGAACTCGAACCCGGGTACTGCAGCGTATAATCTTGACATTTTAACCGTTACACAACACTGCCATTAATGCTCTAGGGTCGCAGGGCAGAAATGAATTTTAAGTAGGCCTTTCCCATATCACATTCGTGTGGTGGGATTGCCGACAAAGCACAGTTTTATTTGATATAGCAATCGACTACATTACTTATTTTCAATCTATAAGTATGTTTTTGTGACTACCAAGAGATCTGATATAAAATTTGCATTTACCTTATTTCATTTAAGGTGAAGAAAGACTGGTAGTTGGAGCAAGTTTATGTGAAATTCAATGGAAGGATGAGGCCTATTCATAAGATTGTTGGCAAATTTAGCTACTTATACTTCGTCACCTTAAGCAAAATAGGGCAAATACAGCTCTTATACAATACAACTAGTGACAGTGCAGGATAGCTAAGGATTTCAAAAGATGTTTCAAAATTAACGAATAACTCGAAAATATTGTGCAATGAAATAAGTTTTATACCTTATATTGGCACGTTAGGCCTAATCATGTGGGACGATTAGGTAAACTAATGGCCCTATTTCATTGCTATCAACATGCATAAAAGGCTAAAAGAAGACAAGTACTATGAGCCAACCTAAAGGGCACCCAGTCTGTATCATGAAGCCTTTGATGACTCGATGAAAGATATGTCCGTTGTAGTATCCTGCCCGAGAGTGCCCCACAAAGTTCTCCACAGTACGTGGTGTCTCTCTGGGGCAGAGGCGAAGGTGAATGTCACCCAGAGTAGTATGCAATACTGCGCTGCCTGCAAGACGCGATGCCGCAGTAGCAGTATCTCGGGTAGCTGCTAGCACCTCCTCTTTGGTAGGCTTCTCGTTGTAGACGTCACGTTCAGTCGCTGATCCCGGTTGAATGGAATCCCCACTGGTTATGGGAAGATGAAATAGTATGCCAAAGCTTATTATAATAGAAATGAGATGTAATAAGGGTACAGATAAATGATAATGTAGGGCAGTGGTACATAGCTGTATACTTTATCGAGCAGCATTTCACAATACGGTAGATAATAGTTACTGAGGCCATCAAAGTTTATTCACATATTAAGCAAACGAGTAGAATCAAAGAAGTATCCTAAATTCATTGTTTCCATAGATTTAAATTTATTTCGCACCCCATGGGTTACTACAATATGAAGCCCAAAATGATTAATGGACAAATCTTGGCTAAGTAACGAAAATTCTGCATCTAATTTCACCAGAGCTATCATAAGGAATCAGAAGCTGAGCAAAAACAGAGAATATTGGCAACAAGTACATTTAGAATCGTTAAAGGAAAACGTCTAACAATATAATTAAAACCATTATATAATGGTAAGTCAGCCCCCAACAATCCCCACTATGGATAAGGAGACCAAAATATTTGACATCAACATTTACAGATTCCGCCTGCTCCAATTTAAATCTAGTGCATCAATATATTTTTCGCACAATATAAATGTACCGTTTTGGGATGAACGCAATGTTGTAAGAATAGCTAGAAGGAGGATTTTAACCAAGCGTATAATTCTACACCTTTTTCATAGGTCCTTGATTAATTTTTAGGTAAGAAGAAAACTCCAAAAATAACAATCTAAAAGGAATATTGATAATTATCCCTATTATTTTTTCCTAGTGTCTGCAGTCGGCTTACACCAATCCGATAAAAAATATATCTAAAAGAGATCTGGGATTCAAAACTAGGCTGTTAAAGTGGGATGTTTTGCGGTAATATGTGTAATTTTGTTCTAGTCAATCGAGGATGATATTCGCTACGTATGAAATGATTTGTTTAAATTATAGAGGGAAAAGAAAAGAATAGCACAAAAGCAGGGAAAAAGAAAGTGTATGCAAGAGTTAGAAGAATATGCAAGTGCCGAAAGCATTAATGAGCTAAAAGAATTTAAATCTGAATAAGGAAATAAAGAATAAATTGTTTAAAAATGAAGGATTGTTAAATTAAATGGTTTCTTCTCGCTAATAAGAATGTGATATAGCCCTAAACTAAAAAAATTACTTACATAACACAAAATCACCTAGTTGAATGCTAATTTAGCATGTAACGGAGTGGGACGATTATCATTTAAATAAAACCCATTGAAATAACATAAAAACTTTTTAGAAGTGAAAATAGAGAGAATAATTTGACCAGAATGGAAACCTTAAATCACATATACGGCAACTGATAAAAATAACGAGAGATATCACAAATGCCTAGCACACAATTGGTCAAAGGATCGACTTTACTTAGCTCCTTGACGAGTTGTAGTGTGGTGCTAAGAATGGCAAGGCTCAATGAGGATGCCGGCGAAACTTCTGGGAAGGTACTAAGTCCATGGTCTGACTGTAAATTATCATGCATACTATGGATTCCGGACAAGGTGAATTCCCCTAGGTCTTCCTCTCAATATGACCAAGTCGCAATAATAAGGTCAAATAACGTCTATACAACGAAAGGAGACCGCGACCATACAAAAGATCACACCATTTTGCTTTTCATATCTTCGCTTAAAATATGGAAGTAAGATTTTCAAACAATGCACAGATTACAGACGGACAAAGAAGACAATTTTAAATCAAACCTGCCATTTGACTTTTTTGAGTTGTTGCAAACATTATGGTATCGCTCTCTGGTTCATAAATCTAACGAGGAAGTGTCATTCGGACACAGTTAATGAAATACTTTACCCCACCTCCATCCAGAAATTAGAGGAAAGTTACGAGACTGAGAGTTCAGATATATTAAATCTGGATTAAGAAAGGATCTATGCAGGGTTCTCCCTCCTGATATATTTCATAAATTCAAATATGATTGACAAGAAGTCCCAAAGGGCTCGGGATTTGATAAATAAGCGGTATGTCAAGAAATTGCTTAGATGTGGGATAATAAGACAACACAGGGTTTAGCCAACCCGACAAAATCATTATGTTCCGGTAGTAATGGCATCCACTCCTCCCAAGGACGATGGGGATAAGATGGCCAACCTATTCTAAATCCCTCTTAATTCTGAAACGGTGGATATCTCCTAAAGAAAGGGTTAGATTTTTCACTTGGTAAATAAGGGAAGATTATATAAGATATCCTTGTAGAAGTCCTCAAGATCTCGGATAAATACTCAGTAGAGACGAAACTGGAGATGGAAATGGAATTGATCCTGAGAATTATGTCCCATCAAGAGCCAATGAAAAGAAGTGGATTGATAAAGATAAGCAGAAAATTAAAAATTAATGACTAAATAGTTCGCAAGGCGGATAAGGGAGGTGCGAAGGTGGTAATGGACAGACAACAATATACAGAGAAAAATGAAAAGTAGCCTAGGCAACCGGAACACTTATCAAATATTAAGAAAGGATCCAACAATGAAGATAAACAGGATAGTGAAGGGAATGTTAAAGGAAATGCATAATAACGGATAAATCGACAGATGGATGATGAATTGGTTAATAAAAAGTGGCGCAGCCTACAGACTATCGAAGATACATAAGGGAGGGAAACCACAAAAGTTAATAGTTAACAAGAAGCATGGACCAACATACAAACTAGCGAAATGTATATGCTTGAAGCTTAAGAAAGTAAACGACAGACTCTTGAAAACTGTGAAGAATTCATAGGACTCGAAGAGAGAGGATTACGAAGTAAACCACAGCCTTGGATCAGCACTCCCTGCGCAGTGGAGGGGATGTAAAAACCAGCGGGGAGTATGAATAGGTTTCAAATAGGTTTGGATAAGCAAGTAAGAAAGTGTAATATTGAAGGGGTGATACGAGGATATAGGTTAGGTGAATAGCCCGGGACAGAAGGAGAGACACCACAACTGTTTAGCACATAATTAGTCAAAAGATCGACTTCACTTGTCTCTTTGACGAGTTGTAGTGTGGTGCTAAGAATGGCAAGGCTCAATGACGATGCCGGCGAAACATCTGAGAATGTACTAAGTCCACGGTCCAACTCTGTAAATTATCATGCATACCATGGACTCCTCTAGTTCTTCCTACCAATATGACCAAATTACGAACAAAGGTCAAACAGTTTCTATCCAACAAAAAGAAACCGTGACCAAACAAAAGGCATCACCATCCTGGTCTTCATACCTTCGATTAAACAAAAATAGCATAATCAATAGCTTTCAAAATTAAAAATGAAAAAACAAGAACGAAATAGTATTGCCACAGCTCCACAAGAAATCACATTCAAGAGAACGAAAAGGGAGAAAGTAAAGCTTAATGATACTACATAATTCTACCAAAACATGAGGCTAGATGAGAGTATAGGTCTTCTAAGCGAACTTATTGAGTTTTTCTGACATGATAGTTTCCTGCGAATAAGAGTAGGGTTTTAAGGAATTTCTTGTTTCATTATTGTTGTGCTAACTTCCAATTTGAGTGAGTGTTTGGTGAAGAGATTCGAAGGGCGATTCCACCAGAATACGACGGATTCCTATTGACCAGCTGTAGATTGGCTTTACTAGAGCATTCAGGTTGACGCTGTTTCTGAGGTAATCTACTTCGATTCCGGTGAAGACGTGCTAAACTTCCGTCCGTCATATGACGGACATCATCAGAGCAAAGTATAATCCTTACAATCAAATTAAAGCTAGTAAGTCAAGAGGAATTCGACGTCGTCGACCTTCGAATCTCGTCACCAAACTCTTTCACTCGAAATGGAAGTAAGCTCAATACTGATATCTACATTAGATGTATTCAGCCTATTTTGTTTAA